TTTCAAAAAGTTCAGAGAAATGATAAGCATGATCTCATCACGAGGGAGCCTAAAAGAGAAGCCAGCTCAGAAGGCATAGGAGGCTCTTTAAAAGGGAATTCAGACAATCTGGTCACAGGTGATTCTTATGGGGATGGCATCCAAACAACACTGGTGGATAAGCTCCAGAGTTAAAAGGATGAAAAGATGGAAGCAGGGGCAGGTGACCAAGCCAGAATACAAAAGATGTATACACTGAAACCCAAAATAAGCTAAGGCTTGCAATAAAATGGTAGGTACATCAGAAAGAGCTTTCATAATTATGTTCAGAGTAGAAGAGGAAAGAGACAGGCCAACCTGCTTGAGGGGAAATAAAAATCTGACAATATATATTACATATCATATATAACAAATGAGAAGGGAAATGGAAATACTCAATACTCTATCAAGAAAAATGATCTTTAGACTAGAACGGTTATGGGGAAAGTATGGTTAAGAGGGCATTAAAGGGGCAGCTAGGTGGCGTAGTGGATTGAGCTTCAGCCTTGGGCAAGTCACTTAACCCCAACTGCCTAAGCAAAAAAAAAAAAATATATATATATATATATATATATATATATATATATATATATACATATATGTATATAAAAGAGGGCATTAAATCCCCAAACTTTAGATAGTAAAAGAACAAAATTGGGTTGAGTTCTCCTGGACCCACTGAGAGAATTCTCAAGTTACCCCTACTGTCGACCATCTTTTAAAGATATTGATAATGGGAAAGGTAGCAGAAAACCCCCTCATTACCTCAAATTCCTAAAGGGTTGGGAGGAGAAAATAATAAAATAAGGGACCAGTGAGCTTGAAGTTAGTACCTAGTCAAATTTTGAAATGAATGAAAAACGGAAGGTTTATGTGTGGTGCAGTAGGAGGAGTAATGAATTTGATTTGGGGGTTTTTTGGGGTTTTTTTTTTTTTTGGTTTTTGTCCCTGTTTTATGGCAAGGCAACTGGGGTTGATTTGTCCAGGGTCACACAGCTAGTAAGTGTCAAGTGTCTGGCAGGAGTAATGAATTTAAAGTGATGAACTTGGAGTAACTAGACCTGAGTTCAAATCCTAGCAATGTCACTTCTTACTATGTGTTCTTGGGCCACTTAATTTCCCTGGGCCTCTGTTCTTTCGTCTGTAAAATGAAAGGTTTGAACTAAACTTCTAAGTTCCCTCTAATCTCTAGATCTGTGATCCTGTGAGCACTTAGAAAAGAAAATATTGATCACTAGGAACAAACATGGGTTCACCAAGAATGAGTAGAACCAAACATATATCTTTTCCTCTTTTGATAGAATTACTTGAGTAAAAGAAATTCTATAGATCTGGTGCTCTCATACTCAATTGATTGTTTCTTTTACATTTCTATTATTGATTCACATGTACTAGATTATCCTCATCTTTGTTTCTCTTTGCAAACACTGACTAATCCAGTTATATTTTTGTCTGAATAAAGGGATATATATAAAATAATCTGGCACTTAAAAGCACCTCTAGGAATTAAGGTCTCTAATATAGACAAGGTATATTTGGGTTATATCATTGGCAGGTAATAAGATCTCTTTAGAGAAAAAAATACAAAGCTGTGTGATGGAAGATAGTATTCATTTAAGTAGATTCAGAATTTATTAAATGACTATACCAATACCATAAATGCTGATTGGTGGATTGGTGTCACCTGGAGGGAAGTTTCTAGTGGTATGCTGAAGAGCTCTGTCCAGTTCAACATTTTTATCATTGACATTTTATCAAGGTCACATTTATATAACACCTTAGCATTTGCAAAGTGCATTATAGACATAAAGACTAGAATATCAGATTTGTGCATGACACAAAGAGTGTGTTCCCCCAAGATGGGAGTGTTCTAGTGTTGAAGTTGATCTTGAGGCCAAGCCCTGCCCTGGGGTGAGGGGCAGTATAGTGGCAGACCTTTCTCTCTTACTCAGATTTTCTTTTTCTTTTTTTTAACTTTAACTTTTTTATTATTTTTAAAATGTTATTCCATATTTTATTAATGCCTTTTGTTTCTGCATCACATTCATTTCTGAATATATTCTCTCACACCCCTCCACACATACACTCTATCCCTACCTTCTTCCCCTATTTTTTGAAACAAAGATTGTAAAAGAAAGGGGAAAAAAGCAATATATGTCAAGTTCAGAGTTTCCACAAGAAAGAAAGAGCTTTCTCTAGGAAGATGCCACTTGTGGGGCTGGGGTGAGGTAGGGAGTTGGCTGGGAGGTGGAAGGAGAAGCAGCATTGTTAAATGCCAAAACGGCCCTGAATTTGGAATCAGGGGCTCGGGGTTCAAGTCTCAGGTCTACCATGTACTGACCTTGTGTGTGTGACCCTGAGCACATGTCACTCAGGGAAGTAATTCCCTGAATTTATATCCTTATCTCTAGAATGAGTAGATAAGACCAAATGGCTCCAACGTCTATTCTTCCAGAACCAAAATCCTAGAAAATAAAGATTTCTCTACAGCACATGGATTTTTCCAATCCTTAAAGAAAAGTGAAGGCACCAAAACCTTCTTATAGATTCTAGTATGATAGATTCAGACTGATGCTAGTGTTCAGAAATCAAATGAACAAGGTACTTTAGAGATCACACAAAGTTTGCCTTTTTTCTTATGCTATACATTGGAGGCTAGAAAAGCTTAGGATTTTCTTTTATGCTACAGGATAGGTGGGGCCTGCTATATTAATAAACAAGTTGTAATAATAATAATAATAATAATAGTTATTATTATTAATAATAATAATATGCAAAGCTCTTTAGAATACAACAACCCTGTGAAGGATGTAACTCAAGTATTCTTACTCCATTTTACAAACAAAGAAACAGGATCTGGCAGGACTTCCACCTAGATCAGGGATGGGGAACCTGGGGCCTCCAGGCCACACATGGACCTCTAGGTCCTCAAGTGTGCTTCTTTGACTGAATCCAAACTTCACAGAACAAATCCTCCACCCCTGGCAAGAACTTTGTAAACCCCAAGTTGCTTTATGCATGTCCATTGTTCTTATATATAAATGTATTCAACTTCTGTGAAGTTTGGATTCAATCAAAGAGCCACACTTGAGGACCTTCATTCTAATACAGACATGTGGCCTGGAAGCCACAGGTTCCCCATCCCTAACCTAGATCCTTTTAACTCCAAAATCATTCACCACACCCCACCATCTTATGCTAATGAAGAAACAGCATGTGTAAAGGTCTGTATTAGAATGAATTAGGTTATATGCTTACAAGTTTATTGGTAGTCCTCAAAGATAGTCATGCAAAGAGGTGATGGCAGCCTGGATTGTAATTTTGAACGAGTAGAATTAATTTAGGCATTTTTTATCTCCATATATAACATAAGCCTGAGAGCAAACTCAAACATTACAGTAAGGGGAAAAAAAATAAAAAGGACCCATCCCATAACCATGGTGAACCCCATAGTCAGTAAATTCTAATCCTATCTCTAATATACATTAGCTTTGTGACCAGGGGTCATTCAATCTCTCCAACAACTTTCCTCACCTGTAAAATGGGACTGATAATGCCTATAATAGAAGTCACATGTGGCCCTCTAGGTCCTCAAGGATGGCCCTTTGACTGAATCCAAACTTCCTAGAACAAATTCCCCACCCCTGGCAAAAACTTTGTAAACGTCCAGGTGCTTAATATATGTCCATTGTTCTTATAAATGTATTCAACGTGTTTGAATTTCTTTCACTTAGTTGAATCTGGTCAACTCAAGTAAACATTAAATCAGCCCCAGAATTTAAAAGTCAGAAGAGAATACCCGCTCCAACACATAACCAAATAGACATCCCCTTTACAAAATCCTCAGCCAGTGCTGGTCTGACTTCTGCTGGATGGCTTCCCTCCTGAGGCACCCCACCCCGCTTTTGTGCAGCTCCAGTTATTAGGGAGTTTGTCTTTATATCAAACTGCTATCTACCTTTCTGCATCTTCCAATCTTTGCTACTACTTGTGCCCATTTGGGTCCAGGAGAACATATTTAATCTCCTTTTTGTACAAAGGCCTTTCAAATACCTGAGGACAGCTTCAGGTCTCACCCTAAGTCTTCTCCAGGATAAACGTGCCTATGGGGTAGTTAGGCAGCACCAGACCTGGAGTCAGGAAGACCTGAATTCAGATTTGGCCTCTGATACTTACTAGCTATGTGATGATCCAAGACAAGTCACTTAACCGCTATTTGCCTCAGTTTCCTCATCTGTAAAAATGAGAATCATAACACCATCTTCCTCCTAGGGTTGTTGTGAGAATCAAATCAGAGGATAACTGTAAAGTGCTTAGCACAGTGCCTGGCACATAGTAAGCATATATATTATTACTCTTATTAAATTCCCTTTTCTGAACCTTGGTCTCTCTCACCATCCTATTTGCCCCTTTTTTAAATGCTCTCTAGCTTGTCTGTGTTTGCACAGAACAAGTAATAAGTTATAGTTTTTTAATAGCAGACCTTATCAAAGGATCTTAAACCTCTTAAAGATACCATTTCATCATTCCATGTAAGACCGCTGTGAAGTCAGCCCCTGTTCTGGGGTGCTGCTAGAGAAGCCAGGGCTGAGAGCTGCGTTACTCACCTCGGATTGCACAGGAAGTCAGCGAGACTGCTATAAACAGAAGCCAGAATCCCTGGCTCTCAGTCCTGGGCTATGGCCATTAGTCACACGGAAACCAAGTAAGAAGCAAAACACCACCCCAGCTCTTCTGCACCTACCTACCCACTCACCTAAGGATTCGTATATTTTGTTTGTTTGAATGAGTGATGTTACCTGGTTCTACTACTAGCTACCTGTCTGTGACCTTGGCTCATTTTCCCCTTTCTGGGCCTTCTTCTTGAGTCTTCTTAGGTAAGGGCTTCTTGTGTAGAAGAATGAACAGAGAACTAGCCTGGGAGGTAGGAAGAGGGTGTTCAATGCCCCGCCCTGCCCCGTCCCCCTCTGACACATACTAACCTCTCAGGGCCCCACACAGCTCTTTATGACTAGATGTCATCCAGGTCCCATTCTACGTTGGTAGAGGAGATTTCCTCACTGGGAATTACCCATGTTTATGACATCACAGATCTGGTCAAAAACAAATAAATAAAAAATACTTAGTTGTGCTCATGAATTCTACATTTATTCTGCCAAAACATCTTTTCTTATTCATTCATTCATTCATTCTTGGCTTTTTCAGTCATACATAATGCACCAGCCTGGAACAAACTTGTCAGTAAGGTTGACCCACACAAGCCTGGCTTGTCCAAACCCCTCAGACACACACCTACAAGGAAGACAAGTCTTCAGAGACCAACTTCTTCATTCATCCTTTTACAAAGGGCAAATCTCACACTAGCAGAAAACAATCTGTGCAATTGATGGAGTAATTCTCCACAGGGAAGCATTTAACCATCATTTCAGGACATTTACTTGGGCTCTTCAGTTTTATTTAGTGAGGTTTTCTTCCTATTTAAGGGTGTGAGCATTCTTTACATCTAAATTCTCAAATGAGTCTTTCATCAGCTTCAGGATGGAGGGCCCATCTCTGTTGTTTTGTTTTGTTTTGTTTTGTTTTGTTTTGTTTTTTTCAGACTTCTCAGGGCTGGGGCTACTTTACAAGCCAGTTAAAATGCAGGCGGTGATTGTTTATTGCCTCTAGAGAGTGACCCTTGTGTCTTTTCTTTTTTAAAACAGCAAATATGCCGGAGTATTATCCTGACCAGTTGGATGACGTTGTGGATTTTATTCACAACACAATTAAAAGACTGAAAAGGTCACCAGACAAACAAGCAGAGTTGTTTCCTCGGCGGGAGAGGAACAGACAAACTGGAGTCACCAATGCAGATAGAAAGAGGCAGAGGGGACAGAGGGGCAGGAACCGGGGCTGTGTCTTAACCTCCATACATTTAAATGTGACTGACTTGGGATTGGGATACGAAACCAAAGAAGAATTGATTTTTCGATATTGCAGCGGATCTTGTGATGCAGCTGAGACCACATATGACAAAATATTAAAAAACTTAACCAAAAAGAAAAGGCTGATGAGTGACAAAGTCGGGCAGGCCTGTTGTCGGCCCACTGCTTTTGACGATGATCTGTCATTTTTAGACGATAACTTGGTTTACCACATACTGAAAAAACATTCCGCTAAAAGGTGTGGATGTATCTGACTCTGTTTCCGGGAGACGGCTATGTATTGCATTCCTGCTACAGTGCAAAGGATGGGGACCAAGGTTCCCAGGAAATGTTTGCCCAGAATGGAGAATGAGGACCAAGGATGGAGATGAAGAAGGAGAGACGGACAGAAGTCAGCCATCATGGGAGCCTGGTGGAGGGAGATCCAGCTACAGACGACTGGATGAAAGAGAGAACGGCCCTCTGGTTTCTACAGGAAAGCAACTTCAAGGCGCATCACACGCTCAGGGCCAGTGTTCCTGGATGGATGTTGCCACTGTCATTTCACTTGGTACAATCCACCATCACCTATCATCAGCTCGGAATGTGCTGAAAGAACACAACCACTTAGTCTCCTGTGGTTTGTTTTCACATGTTTGGTTACACCAGGCAAACAATTCTGGTGTAAGCTCACGTGGCATTAAGAGTCATTACTGAAAGTCAGGAAGTTATACATTTTCTTCCGTCACTCAGTTAGGTCATACCTGCCCCTCCTCCCATCTTTCCCCTTCCCTCTCCCGCCCCCCCCAAAATATATATTATATATAAAACAGACACTAGAAACAGCCTTTTGACTTCAAAGTTGAGGCCGAAGGTATACTTGGACAGGAATCTAATGGTTGGTTATTGATTTTTAACAGTGTGTTGGGTGGGAAGAAATTGGACAGAAACTAACAGGCTGTATTCACTGACTAAAGAAAACCTGAAAGTATTTTCTTTATATACTCTTGGAAACAGGAAAGGAGTTGTGGTTTTAAGCAGCATACATTTCTAGGAGAGTGAGGGGGAAAACAAGCCCAGATGCACCTCGGTGTACAAGGAGACAAACAGGTCTCTTTCAGTTTACAGCTGGACAAATGTCACATCATCACTACATTTATGCTTGGTCACCAGTGGCCAGAGAGAGTACTTGATGCAATGCATCCATTTCAGATACAGAAATATATAGAAGAATATTTATTGAAATTTAAGTTATTGTTATTTATTACAGTTCACTAATGAGTTTCTTTTTTCCCCTTATTTATTAAAATTTCTTTTCTAAAGGTGCCAAAGTGTAATGCGCTTGCAAAATACAAAGAAAGAAAGAAAAAGAATCAGATTGGGAACAAGGGTCCATGCTTTTAAAAATGTTAACAGTTTTTGGATAGTTAAAAAAAATCACTTACTTTACCTTTTTCCACAAAACTTCCTGGTTAAATTCTGTAGATCTACCTGTTTGCCGTCCATTTGTCTAAAAACAAGCAGAGAAGCATTGTTTCTGAGGGACCCCCATACCCCTTTTCTCAGATGATTTCCACAGATCAGTGAGCAGAGACCAGTAACACTTGGCTTTATTTCTCTCTTGTTCCAACACTGAACAAACATGCCATAATTTTCATTCTATGTTGTACTTAAGTTTTTTTCCTTCCATGTATATTTATCTATAATATGCATTAAATATATATGAAAGGCGAAATGCCTTTTAGTAGTTAGTCCTGGATTTTAGTGTCAACTAAAAGGTAAACAGTTCATGTTCAGTAGCAGCCAGAGTTTTTGCTATGATTCACTAAGAATCATTCACACAACACACACTCCCCCCCCAAAAAAATATACCTGATTTAAGAAGAAAATATTCTGAGCTGAGAGCCAGGTACTGACTATTGTGATCAAAACAGTTGCATCGGTCACCTTCCAGGAGGCAGATTGTCCCATTTCCCCCCAAAAGCTTTTTGACTACAACCTCAGACCAGTAAGTAGTGAGCTGTTCCTTTTGTGTAAAATCCCTTTAGGATAACACAATACAACTGAGGAGGTCAGAGGCTTCTGGCCTGGCCACAAAAACATGTATATGGCTGGATTGAAACAATTCTGGTGGATGGAGTGGAAGAAAGTATAGGGGCAGCCATCTTTGCCAGTGTCCCCTAAGGTGGGTTTTTCTGACAAGCTAATCAGGATGTGCATTCGTAGAGAAAAACAACATTGGGCCCTATATTGTGGCTTTTTATCCTTTTTTTTTAAATTTTTGTCAGAAGAGGGATTTTTTTTAATGAAGAAAAACCATGTCTAGCTATTAACAGCAACAGTTTGATAAAAGTTGGGAATTCCAGTTGGCTTCCAACCAATTAGACATGCTCTTTTGCAAATCAACCTATCAGCTACCAACACTAATCCCTGTGAGAACTGATTTCTCCTCCTTCCCACCCCTACTTTGCTCTTCCTGCACCTCCAGATTAGAAGCCAAGGATAGGATGGCCCCATCCCTCCCAACAGAATGGGAAAGCCAGGCCATATGGCTCTTAGAGGAGACAAATCTGTTTGTTAATTTATTATAAGAATTCAGAAGTGTACCCCAGAATTATCAACCTTGCTCAGATAACAGTATTGACTGTGTGCAGAGTAAACTGCTGATTTTTTTTAAGTTTCAGCCTAAATTAGCTTGCAGCATTAGAATCAAAGCCCATGTCTACACTGGCTGCAACATTTCAGGGAGTGCTGTGGGCACATTCCCTGTGTCCCCTACACACCATAAGCAGGTTTGAACTTTTGCAGATCTAAATATAACTAATCTACAAAAGGGTAAAGTTTGTGATTTTTCATCGTCGTCATCATCGTCATCATCATCATTATTATTCTAATTATTATTATTATTACCATCTAAAATAGGAGTGCACTTCTTTGGAAGCTCTGATTTCACCTCTGATCTATGTCTCAGTCATTTGTGTTATACAACCAAAGTTCTCTACAAACTTTATTTTTGTACAATATCATTTTGTAACTTTTTACAAATAAAAGCTCATTTCTATTGTTCTCTGTACTTTGTGCTTCCTCTAGCTGCTGCTTATGTACTTGGCCTCACTCCCCACATCGGATTTTACAGCATGCAATAAATGTTTAAATACCTCCACTGCTAGGTAATGGGACTCTCTATGCCTCTCTCCCACTCCTGCTACCATGCCCCCAAAGGAATAATTGTACAGTAATTCGGGGAGGGGCATCTAGGTGGTGGAGTGGATAGAGCAATTGGCTCTGGAGGACCTGAGTTCAAATCCAGCCTTAGACAGTTATTAGCTGTGTGACCCTGGACAAAGCGCTTAGCCCCGATTGCCTCAAAAAATAAATATATAAATAAAATAATTCAATGGTGGAAAAGTAAAGTAGTTCAATGGTACGGGAGGGCAACAATAGGAAAAGTAAGTCATGTATTTGTTAGGATACACCACTGACCTTCACTTGAGAGATGTACTGCACCACTCATTCCATGCTACACAAATGAAGAAACATTAGATCTTGGGTGCACCTGTGATTCATTAATCTAGAGAGTATCCCAAAGAGGAGGCCCTGTTCTCTGCAAATTACAGGCTAAGAGAGTTGTTTAGAGTACTGACAGGTGAAGGGCATTGCCCGGGAGCAAAATGCTATTATGAGTCAGGGGCAAGACTTGAATCCAAGTCTTCCTGGAGAAAACTAGCTCTCTATGTACTATACCATATCTGCCAATGCTGCTTACAACCTATGCGACCTTGGGCCAAGTGTCTTCACCTGTCAGTTTTCTCATTTGTAAAATGAGGAAGTTACACTAAACAACCACTAGGGTCTCCTCTAGTTTCAGATCAATGTCACAATGGATAGAAATGCCAGGCCTGGAGGCAAGTAGACTCACCTTCCTGAGTTCAAATCTGGCCTCAGACACTTAACTAGCTGTGTCACCTTGGGCAAGTCATTTAACCTTGTTTCCCTCCGTTTCCACATCTGTAAAATGAGCCAGAGAAGGAAATAGCAAACCACTCCAGTATTTCAGGAAAACCCCAAATGACGCCACTGAGTCAGAAGGACTGAAAACAACTGAACAAAAACAACAGATTAATTCACAGACAACCTCAATGATCCATTGTAAATTCACAGGCAACTTCAGCGATCAATTCTGAGATACGTATTGTTAAAAAGCAACCCAAAAAAATTGAAGTTGATATTACCCTCAGGAAACAGTTCTCCAACCTGTGTTCTCTAAGCAGTAGTATTCTGAGCAGTGCTATTTTTCACTTAAGCTACCCTCACCTTTCTTATAATGAATGATCTTTTGTTTAGAGCCCTCACACCTCAATTCTTGAAGAATAAGGCAATTGAACAAGTCGGCTTTCTTGTCTAACAGAGTCCTAACTTGGAACTCTTGTACTGGGGGCAGATTTATTTGGGGTGGCAGATGGAGGGGGGAAGACTTTACAAACCAAACACCAGCTGGACTCAGTCTCCAGCAGAGTATGTCATGAAATGAATCCCAACAGCACATTATTGAACTTTAATAAAACTTTGGATAAAGGAGTATTGGCCCTAATAGGGCTATATGTAAAGTGTCCAGCTATTGGGAAGCATAAGCACCCATTTCTCAAACAAACAGTAGAATATAGAATTATATTGCTGTGACTCTTTGCAGTTGATGTGGGCACCCTGGGAAATAGTAAACCACTCCAGGATCTCAGGAAAACCCCAAATGGAGTCACAGAGTCAGAAGGACTGAAAACAACAAGCTGAGGGGATAGTAAGAAAAAGCATTAATGTGAACTTGTGAGCCCACAGGCAGATGTTGGGCTGGGAAGGAAACTTGAGGTCAGACTCTTATCTAGCCATCCTCACCACCTCTAAACTGAGATGCTAGAAAATGATGCATCTTAAAAAAGATAGGAAGGAAGGCAGGAAGAAAGAAAGAAAGAAGAGAAGAGAGAGAGAGAGAGAGAGAGAGAGAGAGAGAGAGAGAGAGAGAGAGAGAGAGAGAGAGAAGGAAGAAGGAAGGAAGGAAGGAAGGAAGGAAGGAAGAAGGAAGGAAGGAAGGAAGGAAGGAAGGAAGGAAGGAAGGAAGGAAGGAAGGAAGGAAGGAAGGAAGGAAGGAAGGAAGAGAGAAAGAAAGAAATCACAAAAGGAATTTACAAAGCAGGATCCCATCCCCTCATTGTGTGTGCAGTCCATAGAGAGATAAATGCCCCTATCTTCCACTGGCAGCTGGATGGTACAGTGGATATTGTGCCAGCCCAGTCAGAAAGAAAGACCTGAGTTCAAATGTGGCCTCAGATACTTACAAGCTGTGTAACTATGGGCAAGTCACTTAACCCTATTTGCCTCAGTTTCCTTATCTGTAAAAGGAGCTGGAGGAGAAAACCCTGAAGAGTTGGACACAATTGAACAACAGCAACAAAAATCTTCCACTGGAAGTATGAGCTCTTCCTAAAGGCACACGGAGTAATACAAGGTACAGCTTACAACCCACCATGCCTGCCCAGGCTATGATAGACCTCTTCATCATGCTTCCTCATCCTCTGCTTCCATTTCCCTTTTTATTCCTCCCCTTCACTGTCATCCTTATCCCAAACCTCTTGAGCCATTTCTTCTTCTGACCTACCTTGAGAAACTTGGGAGAAGGAAAGGTCTTACATACAGTTCCTATTGAAAACATTAGAATGGTTGTCATGCCTGATAAAGAGCAAACCACTCATGTTCACTAATGTTCCAACGCACTTTTATTATTTTTAAGAAATGGGGGGGGTGAGGAAGAGAAGCATGAATCAGATGTCCTGGAGAGCCCTGGCATCTGTTTTTCTAATACTTACTAGAAGTCCGGGAAAGAGTGTGACTTAGGGGAAGTAACAGGGCAGAGCTGGAAGGAAAGAGAGGTGAAGACTTCAGGCTTCAGGAAATCAAAGAAAAGTCAATAGAGCTAATTGATGGCAAACAGGGATGAGGTTTTGAAACATTTGGAAAAGATTATGTTACTTAGGAAATTTTTTTTCTGATGAGAGTAGAATTCTTAACCCTATTAGATGTTATGCTTCTATCTCAGATGGACCTGAGGTCATATCTGCCCACAGACACTAGCTATGTGACCCTGGGAAAGTTGCTTAACCTCTATTTGCCTCACTTTCCTCATCTATAAAATGGGGATGATAATAATAGCATGTCACTCCTGAAGTTGTTGTGAGGATCAAATGAGATATTTGCAAAGCAATAAGCACCATGCTCACACATTGTAGGTGCTTAATAAATGCTTCTTCTCTTTCTCTTCCCATTTCTCCCCACTCCTCACAGAACAAGAAAACAAGGTTGCTTTCCTAAAGTTATGCTGCAGTGAGAGCTCTTTCTGGAAGGAGTTGCTCAGGTGCCTAGTAGGCAATTAATTTTTGATATCCCATTACCCCAGCTTCAGGCAACCCCTCCCCACTCCAAGGACTTAACTTAATCTGCCCCCTTACAGCAAGACCCTACTTGAAGACCAAAAAGCCTTTGCAACACAAATGAATGAATCTCTAATGGCTGAATTTTGGTAGGAGAGATTTGGGGATGGGGGGAGGTGTTGGAGGGAAGGTGACTTCTTGATACTCTTCTACCTATTATGTAAGACCAATCTGCCTAAAAGCAGCTTCTACTGGTTGGTCTTGGTATTATGGGTCAGTCCAGGCCAAATAGCTACTGAGATTTCTCTTATCTTTGTTACTACTATTACTGGGTGGATTTATCCATTGCCAGTGAGTAATCAGATTGGTCACATTTTCATTTTCTCCAGAGCCTGGACAGCAGTTTCTCTCCCCCTCCCCCGACTCTGCCATGGTTTCAAGTCTCTGGAATGGATGGGGTTCCTCAGGAGTTGATCGCATCATTGGAACAGATAATTCATCTACAACATATAATCTTAGAGAATCATGAAAGACTTTAAATTTAAGTAACTAACTCATGGTCACATAGCTAGCAGGTGTCAGAGATGGTATTTGAACTCTCAGGCATAGTAGACAAAGTGGTGGGCTTGGAGTCAGGAATATCTGAGTTCAAATCCTGTCTCAAGGAGCCAAGATGGCAGAGTGAAAAAGTAGTAGCTCTCACTCTCCCCTATCAACCTCTGAAAACCCAGAAAATATCAGCCCAGAAAAAAAAAAAACCCTGGAACACCTGAACTAGAGGAAAGAGAAGGAGCAGCAGTGCAGTAGCCCAGCAAACGGATCTCTCAGTGCCTCAGCAAAAACAAGGGGCCCCAGGTGGATAAGTACCCTGTGGCATTCATCTGAAAGGAGGTGAAGAAAACAACCTAAAGGCTTCCTAAAGCCCGCCTTGCTGATTCCAACCCAACACCAGGTGAGCTGTAGGAGCCCTGAGCCTCCAATTGTGAAGAAATCCTGAAGCCCAGGTGGTAGAGCAGGCAAACACCAACACCTGGACCTCCGAGTGCCTCAGTGAGGGGGGGAACCGGTGGAAACCAGCTCAGAAAACCACCAGGTCTGCACTCCACCAAAGGAATCTCCCAGTGCATTAGCAGAAAGAGGGAGACAACACTGCAGGGGCCCCGGGCAGATAAACATCCTGCAGCAGCCATCTAAAGGAGCAGAAGAAAGCTAAAAGGAAAGGAAAAGCAGGCAACCTAGAATTGCCTGAAAGTTCCAGCCTTGCTGATTCCAGCCCAACACAAGGTAAGCTGCCAGAAACCTACAGCCTCCAATCCCAGCATAAGAGGCCCCAGAACAAAGCCAGTGACCAAGACCTAGGCTCCCAACACAAGAAGCTTGGGTCAGTACCCTCTGTTCCCCAGCAGGAGAGCTCAATCTCTTTAAAGGCCAGGGAATAAAGAAACACCATGAGTAAAAAGAAACGTACCATAGATTCATATTATGAGAAGAGTGAAGATCAAGACAGAAATTCTGAAGAGGACAACATTGTCAACAAACCCACATCTGCAACAACAAAAGGGAATATGAACTGGTCTGAAGCCCAAAAAGCCTTCTTAGAAGAGCTCAAGAAGGATTTTAATAGTCAAATGAGAGAGGTAAAAGAGTCCTTCAA